ATGACCTCAGGCTCACAATTTTCTAGAACAATCTCTGATTAAGTTCACAGTTGCTTAATACAGCAACCTTTGACTGATTTCCGCAATCTGTATTTCTTCCTATCAGCAGCTCTTTTTGTACAAACTTTGGGATGTTAATGATTCTTTGACTGCACTATAAATTTTACCTCTCAGCATTTGCTTTAATCTGAACAGGTGATCAATGCTAGAATTCTCACAGCACCAAGAAAGAGTTTTTTTGGGATGTCAGGCTACTTTTGGTTTGAAGGAATACCTTTCCCTGATACAGTGTATAAAAGAGAAATTATTGAAGAAAGTCATGATAAGTTTGTGATCAGAGATGAAGACACTGTCATAGTGAGTTATCCTAAGTCAGGTAAGAACATCAATAGAATGATCCTGAACTGTCTGTGGAAGTTTGGGGCTTTATTCATCCTTCATTTAGGTGGTGAATGGAATGCTTTATATATCTCATGTGTTCAATGGTTTGTGGGCTTGAAGAGCTGTATCTGAGAGCATTTTCACTCAGGAGAAGAACTCTCACCTAACCAATGCAGTCAGAGGAGCAGCTTAGGCACTAGCAGTGCCTGAGCTGATCCTTGGAGCAATGACAGTGTTTTCTAAAGCAGATTGTGGCATTCGTTTCTCTCTGTGTGGAAGAGATATTGATGATAATAATCAGATAAAAGAGCATCAAGAAAAAAGGCATGAATATAAGATTATGTGGAGGAGAGGACAACTTCAGGAAGAATAATTACCATGGATCTTCTTCAAATAGAGGAAAGAGTCTCAAAACTCAAGGAACCAAGAAAGGCATCATGGTCATTGGGGGAGGAGTGTGGTGGGAGGCAAAAGCAGTAAAGATTGGTTAAGTATTAGGTTGCTAACATCAAAGGGCAATAAAATGGAAAATCTAAGGACAATGGGCTGCAGCAAAAGGATTCAGATAATAGCCCAGAGAATAATGCTAGAGAAACACTCATGGACAAATGAGCATATAATCACAAATACATTGTGTATGGTAAATAGACCATGGAATATATTTAAGCTAAAGTGAAGCAGTACCAATACATACAGTGCAGGATGGATGCATCTTAATGACACTGTATTAAATAAAATGTTCCAATCTCTAGGACAGATACCATGACTGCATCCCTGACAAATATCTGGAATAGTTGAATTTACGGAAACAGAATGGTTCTTCATATGAGTGTCAATACATTTTCCTTCTCGTTCAGGAACTAATTGGCTGATTGAGATTGTCTGCTTGATTCAGACCAAGGGAAATCCCAAATGGATCCAATCTGTGCTTATCTGGGAACGCTCACCCTGGATAGAGACTAAAAAGGGACTTCCAACATTGATCAATACGGAAGGACCACGCCTCATGTCTTCCCACCTCCCTTTGCATCTTTTCCCCAAGTCTTTCTTCAGATCCAAGGCCAAGGTCAGTGTCCAGTAGTTGAGAAATCTTTGGCCAAATGCTCTTTGAACTTATTCTCCTTTGTTGGGCCCTGGAACTCTGTGTGAAATGCATTCTGTATAGATTTGGAGAGGGAAGTTGGGATTTTCATGCACTAGGTGATGCTAATCTGTCCCTTCCTCAGACTATATCAGAATTCCAGAATATCAACCACCTCTCAGTGATCCTGGGCAGATATAATGTGAAAAACTGTGTTATTACAGTAGGGCATTCATGGACTACACATACAGGTCAAGTAGAGCTCAAACTCTAGTGTATAGTGGATATTACTGTTTTGTTGTCATCAAAGTCATTTAGCTAAAATTGGTTCTATATATAGCTGAAACCTTATGGGTGAATCACCCAAGCAGAGTTGCTCATAGAGGAAGCAGCCTGAACAGGCACAAATGCTGTAATATGGGAGATTGTTCAACAACCATGGCTTATCTGTATCCATTGTGTCTTAAGGTGTCTAGCTGTCCATTAAGACCAGTAGCCAAAAAAATCACCGACATCACTGATAGAGGATCTGCTAAGGGAATCAGAAATATCCATTTTGTGACACATCATTTCTCATTGTTAATAAGAAAGTTTTGTGGAAATCCCCACACCTTAGAAACTATAACTATTTATGCTTAAACACAAAGACAAATGTAGAAAATAATGTCTCTTTAAACTATCACAGTGAAGTTGTCATCATAAAGCTATATTTATGTGTCTTATGTCGATTTAGAAAACTTGTGTCTGGAGAAATTAAGGCCCAAAACGTGAATTATATAGTAATGTCACAATGAGCATTGGGACAAAATATTTATTTTGTTTCATTTATTTTTTAAAATTATTTTTTCTGTTTTGAGATTATACTATAATTACATACATTATTTCCCCTTCTTCTTCCTATCTCCAGGCTGACCATAATACCCCTCTTTTCTGTCTTTCAAATTTGTGTTTTTTTTTTCATTAGTTGTTGTTACATCTGTATATGTGTCTACTTAGTCTTATTTACCTTGGTACAATCTGCTCAGTATGTACAATGTTACTTGTGTTATGTTTTAAGGGCTAAGACATTGATATTGCATAACCAATTGCTGTTGCTTTTTCCATTTCTATCCATCTCAACATTTTTAGGTGCTCATGGGTCTTTGTGTTCACCATTTTGCAATGAAACATTAGCATTAAACTCTGCATAATGACTCTTTTGAGAGTTATCTTTTATAGTTACAGTTACAGAAACCAATTATTTTGTCATTTTTAAGATAAATTTAGCATACTATGAATTATTCAATGTATATAAAACATTCTTTCACAGTGGACAGATAGTCTTTCACCCTGTAAAATATTGATCTTTACAAGTATTGAATCAATCTTGTCTTTTTATTATTGCTGTTGGTTTTATTACAGTATTACTGGCCTCAGTCATTTTGCTGTTATATTTGTGTAAATCAAAATGATGAAAGAAGATTCTGGTAAATATAGACATTTTGCACTTGTGTTCATATTTTGTTCAAATAAAAATAATAAATATTTTTGGAAACTTCATTGATACTTGATTGACTTTTCATATAAACTAAGCCAGATCAAATTTGTTTATGACTATATTGACATTCATTTACATGTTTTTCCATTTAAGGTGATCTATGTCATCAGAAATCCCAGAGATGTTCTGGTGTCTGCTTATTTTTTCCTACATAACACAAAAGTTATTGATAATCCAGAGTCACTAGGAACTTACATCGAATGGTTCCTCAAAGGAAATGGTGAGTGTCCTGTTAAATATAGGGGTTGAGGGAGGCTCAGTTACATTTATGAAGACAAGGTGTGATATAGCTTAGGCTGGCCTTGAATTCTCTATGCAGATAGGGATTACTTGGAATATCTGCTCCTCCTCCCTGTACTTCATGAGTTCTAAGACTATAAGCACTCACTTTAACATTCTGTTTATTTAATCATGGGATTCAACCCCCAAGTCATTTATGTTATCTAACTTGGTTACAACTCAAGCCTTCAATATATTCTGTAATTTCTCTTGGCTCCATCTTATTTCTCTACACTCTACCAACCTGTTGATCCAAGGATCATTACCATCACAAACCTAGTTGTGAAGTCTTCCTGCTCTCACAAGCCACTGCATAATGGCACAGCTACAGCTTACCTATGAATAACCATCCTAGCAATATTTGGAGTATCTAGTCTTTCTAGTACTAAGGAAGATGTTATACCTTGTGGTTAACAAAGCAACAGTGATAGCAACAACACTAGGACCTATTTCCTTCTCATCATGAATATTTGAACATGATGATGGTACCAGATGTGAAGTCTTATCAATCAGAAAATGATTGGTTACTCTGATACCACAATTGCAGTTATTGCACCAGTGGGTGTATGTTGTATGGATGGTTGAAGTGTAGATATCATTGTCCATAACTGAATAATATTATTGATGAGAATCTCCCACTAGAATCCTACAGAAACCTTTTGTTACAATTTATATTTCAGCTATTCCCAGTTTTCTTTCCTTATGTTATGTGACAAGAATATGAGACTGACTTTAGGAATAGGGTCTTAGCCAAGCAGTGGTGGTGCACATCTTTAATCCCAGCACTCATGAGTCAGAGCCAGGTGGGTCTCTGTGAATTCAAGGCCAGACTGGTCTATACAACAAGATCCATGTCAGGCACCAAAATTACACAGAGAAACCCTGTCTCCAAAGCAAAAAATGAAAAAAAAAAAGAAAGGAATAGATCTTACCAACCAGTTTTTGTGGGCAATTGACAATAGTGACAATTGCCTTCATTATTTGGATCCCCAGGCCCATTTTAGGCAACATTTTCTAGTGTGGTATCCCAATAATAGCAATTCAGCTTTCATTTTATAGCCAATAACTTTTGGGAACTTTAGTATCTGCTCATGAAAGCTGCCTTGATTTAAACTCTTTAATAAATTTTTAAATGAGCTTACAAACTAATGGCATTTTCATATATTCTGGGTTTTGGTTAATACTATCCCTAATTTACCCACCCCATCTTTGCATCCACACAATCAGTCTCATATTCCCTTCATTCATATTGATACCATATGTGCCCTGGTGATTCTCTCTCCTTAAGGTCTCTTTTTTCTTGCTACTCTTCTAATGGTTCTTTTCTGCCTTCCTCTCCTTTATACACACATCAAGGTAAATATGCTAAGAATTTGTCTAGAATCCAAATATGAGACAAAAGATGCAGTGCTTGTCTATCTGTACTTGTCTTACCTCCTTAAGTATATTTTCAAGTTCCAAATATTTTACTGTGAATTTTGTACTTTCATCTTTAAAGCTGAATGAAATTTGATTGTGTGTACATATCACAATCTCATCTATTTTCAGTTGATGGGCATCTAGGCTAAAACTGTTCTGTAGATGTTGTGAATAGAGCCGCAATTAGCACAAATGTTCAACTACCTATGTATTTGTATATATATAAGACTATAGTAGTATATACTGACCTAGTTTGAGTATATACCTAAGAATTGATAGCTGGTTCATATGGAATTTCTGTTTTTAGCTTTTTTTAATGCTTCCCACAGTGATTTAAATAATTGCTGTCCAGTTTTCCTTCCCAACAGTGTTTTTATTTCCCCACATTTTTTTGAAAATTAAAAAAAATAAAAAAGAAATATTATTGTAAAGCAACTTGCACATAAATAAAAACCAGATCCACCAAAATTATCAAGACTCAAAGTCTATACAATTAAATGCATTTGTATACAGTTAGAATTGGTATGCAAAAGAGAAGCTGGGAAACTTCACATTAAATGTTATACTTTCAATATTGCTTATATTCCACCCAGTTTTAGTCCACAAAACCCCCAAATCCATGAGAAATTTAGAAAAAGAAAAACATTACCTACATTCTCATTCAACAGTGTTGTCCATTACTTGCATCTACTCCTTTCACATCCCTTTTTATTTAAATTATCTTCTCTTTTCAAACATTTTCAACATGCACTTCAAATATTTATTTGTTTTTTTTTCTTTTTGTCTTTTTTTTTGTTTTTTCTGAGACACATTTTCTCTATGTTACAACTCTGGCATTTTTTCTTTTAAAAATGGAGGCCATTCTGACATAGATAAGATGGACTCCTAAGCAGTTTTTAGTTTTTATTTGTATTTCTTTGATAGCTAATGTTGATGAACACTTTCAAAATTCATATGAGGCATTCCTTTTCTTTTATGGTATACTTTTTAGTACCATACCACAGGTTTTGATTTGTTTCTCAATTTATTCATCATTGGTATAGAGAAAAACTATTTATGTTTGTTTGATAATTTTGTACCCTGTCACTTTGTTAAAAGTCTTTATCAGATCGAAATGTTTTCTGGTAAACACTTTCAGTCTTGCACTGATAGAATTGTATCACTCAAGAATAGGTACTTTAGCCGGGCGGTGGTGGTGCATGCCTTTAATCCCAGCACTTGGGAGGCAGAGCCAGGCGGATCTCTGTGAGTTTG